CCTATTCCACCTTATTAAAAAACACAAAAATATTTTCCTTTAGGCTACATTTGTAGCCGTGCTACTTATAATTTCGTTAGAGATTGTGTGTGCAAGAGAACATGGGAGAAGCTTAAAGGATCACATTGAAAGAGTTGGGCACTCTAGGTGCTTACAAGTATTATAGCGGGATTGCTCCTTTATTGATTCTGGATGGTGCTTTTGAAATCAAGCCAGCAATGATCGCCTTGTTAGAAAGGAAAAAATATGGTGATACAAAAAGCGAAAGCCCTCTCAACCATCTCAAAGATTTCGAGAAATATTCCAATACAATTATGGAAGTCGGAGTTGCTCAAGAGTATATAAGGCTCAAGTTGTTTCCCTTTTTCTCTCATAGGGAGATCCTTAGAGTGGTTGGACAAGGAGGTAAAGCCAAGGTCCCTAAGGACATGGGATGAAGTTACCAAGGCTTTCTTGTCCCGTTTCTACCCACAAAAGAAGACGGCGGAGGCTAGAGCCTTAATCCAAAGTTTCAAGCAATTACCTAGAGAGAACCTCTATGAAGCATGGGAGAGGTACAAGGATTACTAAAGGGAATGCCCTCACCACGGAATTCCTACCTATCAAGTCATACAAATTTTCTATGGTGGTTTAAGCTCTCAAGGTAGATCGAGCCTTGATGCCGGAGCCGGAGGGCCGATTATGAACAAGACGGAAGAAGAGGTTGTGGATGTAATAGATGATGTAGTAAGGAACTACATGAATTGGCATGATGTAGAGAAGGAATCGACAAGCACATATGGCTCAATCGATCTAATGTCGTCAACAATTTGTTTAAATTGGTCTCAGAGTTAGGAAAGGAGGTGATTTCTCTCAAGACCAAGCTTGAGAGTCCTTCACAAGCTTCTATTCATCCCTCCCATTTTAAGGGGAGAGGTACATCTTCCTACTCTAACCCTCTTTTTTCTTCTTGTTGCATGATAAGAGAATGATTGGTTTGTGATTTATGTAGAAAGAATGATCATGATACTTCTAATTGCTCCATTGTTCCTTGTGATGGATATGATTGATATGAGAATGTGCATGTGAACTGTGTTGATAATAATGATTTTGGACCTAGATTTAATGCTCAAAAGAATGTTGGGAATAAGAATTATCACAATCATGGGAGCTATGATAATTATAACCAAAATAGTGGTTATGGTAACCATGTGACCCAAGAGTTTTGTGGTAACCATAACAACTTTGGTTGTAATGATCAAAGCCATGGCCAAGAATATGGGGATCATAACCAAGGTTATGGTAAGCATAATCAAAATTCCGGCCAAAATCATGGTAAGGGTAATTGGATTAATCAAAGTAGGGGAGATTTTCAAAATGATGTTCAAAGAGGTACCCCACCCCAATTTACTCCAAAGACGCAAAACCAAGGTGATGATTTCTATGCTAAAAAATCTCAAATGAATAGGCTAGAGAATTTCATGATATGTTAATCCGAGAAGTTGAATGAATTCACATTGTCTTGTAACAAAATGTTTGAGGTCCTATTTACTCATGGAAAGATGCTTTAGAACCAAATCATTCAACTAGCTAACCCTTTTAGAGATTGTGCTAGTCCTCCTTCTTTACCATCACAAGAAGTTGACCCTAGGGATCCGATGTGTGCTATCACCACTAGGAGTGGTAAGGTCCTTAAATAGAGTGTTCCTAGGAAAGTAAGAAGGGTGAAAAGGAGAGTGATTTGAGTGAAGGAATAATCTTGAAGAGTCTAGCAAGATAAGTGAGAATTCCAATGATAAGCCAAAGGAGAAAGAGAGGAAGCAAGATGAGGTTTACAAACCTAGACTTCCTTACCCCTAAAAGTTCAATAGGCACAAATTGGATGAGCAATTTGGACAATGCATCGAGATTCTTAAGAAGATTCATCTTAATATTCCTTTCACCGAGGTCTTGGAACAAATGCCAAACTATGCTAAGCTTCTTAAGGAAATTTTGAGTGATAAGAGAGGTTGCAATATGGTGGAACCGGTGAATTTGGGGGAGTGTTGTAGAGACTTTATTCATAATGATTTACCCCATAAGTTGAAAGATCCCGAAAATTTTTCCGTACCTTGCAAAATCAAGGGAAATTGTTCCTAAATGCCCTTTGTGATCTTGGTGCTAGTGTTAGCATCATGCCTTATTCTGTTTTCAAGAAACTTAAGCTAGGTGAGCTCCTTCCAACCAACATGACCCTTCAATTGGCCGATCGGTCTATTAAGTTTCCAAAGGGGAGAGTTGAGGATTTTCCCCTCAATATAGGAGAATTCACCATTCCCGTTGATTTCATTGTGCTTGAGATTGCGAAATATGAACATATCCCTATCATTTTAGGAAGACCTTACTTAGCCACTTCGGGAGCCTTAATAGATGTCAAAGGAGGTCGTATTACCTTGAGAGTTGGTAAGAATGAGTAATGTTTTGAGCTAAAACCAATAAATGTGTCTTTGTCTCTTGTGAAAGGAATTATGTGTGTTAATTCCCCTCGCCCTATTGATAATGTATGCATGATTGATTCTTCAAATAAAAATGTTCTTGAGAATTATGATGATGTGCTTTTGTGTTGTGATTGCAAGAAGGATAGTGAAGAGAAAACAAAGCTTCCCAAGCTTATGGACGAGGAGGAAATTGACATTCCTCATTGGTTTGAGCTCTACCCTCAAGAGTAAGATGATGACCCTAAGAGTGTGGATGGTGTGAAACCATCTACAAAGAGGAACAAGGCAAAGAAAAGAGCACGAGCTTCTAGGAAAAAGAGAAAGAGAATGAGATTATGGAAAGATAAGCTTGCTTTTGAGGAGTTATTGAATGAAGTCTCATCAAGCAACAATGAGAAGTTGCTAAAATTTGAAGAGGAATTTGCTCCTTCCGCCACTTTGAAGAAGGTGGTGTTCTTTGACCCTCCATGATTTGGAGGAAGGGTCGAGCTTAGGACCATAAGCAAGCGCTTCCCGGGAGGAAACTCGGAGATTTCTAACCCTTTTCTTTCTATTTTTAATTTTTATTAATTTTCTTTCTTTTAGTATCTTTTCTTTCTTTCACTTGTTTTTCTTTTGGATTTATAGGTTGGATTCTTGGAGTTGGATTTCATCAAGTGAGCACGAGCAATGGGAAGGTGCTTGCGGCTTTTTATGTGATTGAGCTTCTTTTGCTTTCCTTGTTCTCACATGGCTTTATGATGATGCTTATGATTTTGGATCGCAACAAAGGTGGTTCTTTCAATCGCCTTTCTTTATTAGCTAAGCATGGATAGCCCGGTGAGACCTTTCTAATTTTTCTCTTTATTTTCTTTGGATGCATAGATTAGGTTTAGTTTAGGGGAAGTTGAACGGTTTGAGTATGATTTCTTGTTAACACTTAATGTGTTTGGGATCGATGACGATTTTGTCATTTGATCAATTGTATGTCGATTGGGTTTAATGTGTTTAACTTGCTTTCTAGTTCCTTTTTCCCTTTTCCTATTCTTCCTTTATCTATGGCTTTCCTTTTCTTTTCTTTTCCTTTTATTTTTCTTTTCCCTTATTTTTCCTTTGTTCTTGTCTTGGTATGTGGTATGCTTTTGAGGCTTGTTTTTCACCCTTTTTATTTTTCTTATGAATTGGACTTTGTACATCGAACTTTGTCTTTTGAATGAATTTCTTCCTAGGTAGTAAAGGTATGCACGGTTTGAGAGTATGCTTGGTTGACTCTAGGATAGGTGTATGCTAAGGTAGTTGGTTTGAACTAGGAGGATCATGAAGCCAGAATCTACTTGTTTATGGCATGCTTGGTAGTTGCTCCCTATAGTTAATTTGACACCGCTAGTGAGTTTTTGCTACATCCATGTCAGGTTCATTGTTTTTCAAGCCTTCAACTTTTTTTTATGAGTTGCGTGGATCCTTGACTATTGCGGACCTAATCTATAAACCTTGATTTATTATCCTTAAACCCAAGACCGAGCTATCTAGGGAGGAAAAAGACATCTTTTCGGGGTGGTATTTTTCATTTTTAGGATAGTTTGTTTCATCTTTGTTTTTGGGTTTACATTTGCCTTATTGCAACCATTTGAGCCTATTACCTTCTTTTCAAGCCACATCTTTAGATCTTTGGCCTTTTGTTTCATTTTCTTTCTTTTCTTGTTTTTGTGAAGCAATTGATTATTCTTGATGGAGTTTATGGTGGAAAAGTTGGGATATTTGGTTTCTTTGAAGCAAGTTTGTGTTATGTTTTCAATGTGAATAATGGCAAATGTGTTTGAGTAAAAGTCGTCCTAAGTTATAAAATGCATGGACTAATAAGTGCAAAATTGAAAAAGCCGTCCAAAGTTAAAAGAGGCGAGGACAAAGCACTATTAATAAAAAAAAATATCCAAAAATATTTTGATGTGAGTATTCTCCCTTTTTGAGCATTGAGGACAACGCTCCATTTAAGCATGGGGGGAAGCGTTCTCACGCTTTTTGTGTATATGTTTGTGATTTATAGATTTGAATAAGCTTGGGGGTGTTGTTGTTTTTGTTTGGTGATTACTTGGTTATGGTGTAAAGAAAAGCGCAATCTTTGCGTCACAATTTAGGTAAACCGCCAAATTTTAAATTTTAGCCTACCTTCACCCTTTATGCCTTATGTTACAACCTTTGGGAAAGCCCCTTCGAATTAGAAGTTGAGTCACTATTCGGGGCACTACTATAAAAAAGGGCTTATAGAACAGTTGAAACAGGCTTTATAGAGCGCCTAAGGACCGTTCTTCTGCTAAGCGATGTGTAAAGTATATAGAACGGTTAAGAGAGGTGTTTTGTTTGCTTAACTATAGAGAACGGTTGTCAGACATAACCGTTCTCTTTTCCCTTCCTAAGATATGGAAATAATTCCATTACCAAAGAGAATGGTTTTGTAAGCCAACAGTTCTCTATTCTACTTTTTTTTTTATAAAAAAAAAATTGCACAATATTCGACATCTAATTTACAAATAGAAAATTTTAAATAAAAATATATAGAGTACAGTATATAAAATTGAAGTCTGAACTACAAGAGCATAAAAGTTTATACAATTAATGTAAAAAAAATAATAATAATATAACAAGACATCAAAGGACAATAAAAAGAAACTAGTTCTACAAAGATCTGTATGCACTCCATTTTCTCAAATAAAAAAAAAAAAAAATAATAAAAATAAAAAATCTTTATGCACTCCATCTTTTCATCTTTATTTTTTAAGACTTGACTTCTCATCTTTTTTATGAAGACTTCTCACCTTTATTTTATTAACCTGCAAAAATATGAGCAACAATTACACAACTAATCGAAAAATATCACTTCTAATATCACTCAAATCCATAAAATCAAGTTTCCACCATTAAACTAAATCTTCTTGATTATTCCCCAAACATTCCATATCGAAAAGCAGAAGACAAAAAAGTTAATATGTAAATAATAAAAAACAATCCCAAATTTAATTAAAAGTAAAATTACAAAAAAAAAGGAAAATAATCATACGTTAAAACTTCTTAGTGGAGTTAAAGCATAGCGTTTATCATCTGTCAATGGTGACCACCTCAAGTCCTATGAAGTTGACTACCTCCTTCCAATCAGGTCGCCGTGGACATGGCCGAACTGCACAACATGAGTAAAACCATGAATTGAAACAAACTATATAAATTTATGAGAACTATAATCTCACCATGAACCATTTACGAAACCTTGAAAAAATACATTCAAAACTAACCTCAAATTCAAGATCTGAATAATATTAATCAAGCAAAATCAACAAGTCAGATCTAAACCAAAATAATTTTGTTTAAAAAAAAAGATTTCGTCACAAAAATTGCTGGTCAAATAAATACAAAAATTCTTTTCGATTTTGGCACAACAGGATGATAATTGAAACCTTAATCATGTCAAATAATTTCAAGATAATTAAACAATTTCAATCAAATGAAAAACAGAATCGAACCTTTGAAGCCTTCTCCAGATATGTGTTTTTGTTCGAACCCTAATTTTCCATTTCCTTATAAGAGCAACGAAAATGGGAATTTAGGATTTAATCAAATAGAAAACTACGAACGTGAGAAAAATTGAAGATTAAAAATTTTGAAGATTAAAAATTATGTTTTTAAAGGAAAAGAGTAATAGCATCTTATATTAGACAAATTTTTTGGCAAACGGAAGAAAACTAGAAAAGAGAACCATTTATTAGACGGAAGTAATACAGTAGTAAGTTAAAGGTAAAAGACGCACAACGGTTGTTGTGAAACACCGTTCTATATTAACTTTTTTTTTAATAATTTTTTTTTTTCAGATAAATAAATAGAGAACGCTTGGATAAGCAAACTGTTCTATATTTTTCAACATATAGAACGGTTGGGAAAGGAAAATGTTCTATTTTGTTTTACAAAACGCTTATCTATGTTAACCGTTTTGTCTCTTGCGTTTCTTATTCCACTTTTTGTAGTAGTGGGGGAGGGAATCATGGGTCATTGCCTAAGGAAAGGGGATGCATAGTCTAGATGTCGAGTAGCCTAAATAAATCTTTTTTTCCGGTTCCTTCAAGGAATCATTGGGATGCTCATGACGAGGGGGAAAATGTATGTCGTTATCTACCCTTTCCCCAAGTCAAACAAAATTTGTAAATGACAAGGGTTAAATCGGTCGCTACAATCTAACTCTCAATCAAACAATACTTATACGAACACCCTATAACCAAGTACAATGGCAAATAAAGGTTCGGTCCACGAGGAACGAGAGTAATTGCAAATCAATCTTAAACCTAAGCTAGTTCGAAATCAATGGAAAAATGGTGTTCTAAAATACTACTAATAAGATGGAATAAATCAATAAACTAAGACACTAGGGAGAACGAGAATTCACCAAACCATCGGTAACTACGCAACAAGGAATCACAGAGACAAACGGGATATGCAAAGACTATATGTCTGATCAATATCATGTGATAGGAAGACAACGGGCAATACTAAGCTTGGATTTCTCATGCACTTAACATTACTCGATACATAATCAAACCACATTCAATAATGAAATACTCAATTCACAATCTCTTGTTCAAATCAAGGATATCATGCAATCAAATTCAAGATTCTAGGTTAGCTACTCCTATTATAATGAATTAACATGCAATCGCATATAATCAATTTAATCACAATCCGTTTATCAAAATCAATCCTCAATTACATAGATTACCTAGGCCGGGTTTCATCCCGAAACCCTAGCTAGGAGACTACTCACACATATTCATAATCAAAGCAATAATGAATTCCAAAAGCATAATAGATATAAACATGAATTCTTATTAAGGAATAATAAAGCTTGATTAATAAACAAGAATGAATAATACCAATTGTATTGATGCGAATCAATGGAAAAGTTCAGAACTTTGATATCCGTCGTCAATGAATAATACAAAGAATCTTCACAAATCTTGCTTCAAATCAATCCAAGAAAACTAAAATCTCTAGAAATATCTCTAAGAAAACTAATGAATCTCTAATACTAAGAACGTTCTCCAATAACTCTCTACAAAGGCTCTCAAAACTATCTCTAAAACTGTCTGAGGAATCCTCTTAAAGTTGGGCCTTATATACGTCTTCTAATGCGGAGAAGTCAAGCGCGCAGTTAACCCTGGATCAGCACGGCCGTGCTGTATTTGGCACGGCCGTGCTAGCTTGTCAGTAAGTAAACCGGATTTCTTCTTCAAATTGGCACGGCCGTGCTATATATGGCACGGCCGTGAAGCTTCCTGGCACGGCCGTGCTAAAAATGGCACGGCCGTGCTGAATATGCTCTAGCACGGGGCTCATACTGAAGCTGACACGGGCACGTGCAACATCTGGCACGACCGTGCTAATGGCCTGCACGGCCGTGCGGGTGCGTGGATACTGACACGGCCGTGCTATTGGCTTGCACGGCCGTGCTGCCTTGCCTGGGGTTGCTTGCTTATAGGCCAGCACGGGTGTGCCTATGGTAACACGGTCGTGCTGCCTGTGCTCTGTAATCAATGCACGGCACTTGAACTTCCTTAACTCCTCGGACTCCGGTCAAGGCTAGCTCGGTTACGCATCAAGGGCTCGGGATCAGATTAAACTCGGTTGATATTACCTGAAAACACATCAAAAACAAACCGAAAACCCGTGAAGCACGTAATATGGGGAACGTAAGCATAACAAGGTAATAATCGGCCAAAGCGGCCCCAAATACGTCCAAAATCATCCTAAAATATGCTCTAAAGCGCGCCCTAAAGTGCGCTTGTCAAAACCCCCCAAGCTACACTTTTGCTAGTCTTCGAGCAAAAACCAAGGGAAACACACACAAGATCAAATAAACTATGCCGAACAAATCAAATTAAGCATGGAATGAAATCAATGGATCCTACTTAGAACAACCATGCACGGAAGGAAAACTCACTCAAACAAGCAACGAGACACACAATCCAAGATATCGTTGATCAAATGCGAACAAGACCTAAACCAAGCATAGAGAACAAAGAAATCATGCTTCCCTCTAAACCCGACCAAACCGGCCACGTCCTCCCCTTTTTCTTCAAATCACCACCCTAATTGGCCCCTCGTGATTCCTCGAAGGAACCGGAAGAAGTGATGTTTTGAGGAAATAACAAAGGTATCCCGACATCTCGATTACGCATAATCTTTCCATAGGGTTGAAAGGTATCTCCCTCCACCGTTTGAGAACTGAACACCTCTAAAGTCTAAGGGTCTTAAAAGGGTTATAATGTATTGGAAATGGGTAAGGTAGGTGAAAACAATTTAAAAAAGTGGGGTTAATTCCTAAATGAAGCGCAAGAATCACAATTCTCAAAAACAATAGTTCAAAAGATGTAATTCACTTTCCACAATCTCATTGATTCACATTCTTACACATCCCAAATTATCCATATAATACACACTCAAATGACCTCTTTCAAACTTCAAAACTTAATTTATGTGTCCTTGCCTTTTTCACAATTCGGACGACTTTTCTCTTCTTCTTTTTTTTTCTTTTTTTTTTATTGATGGAAAAAATGACTTTCACATTACATATTTACAATTAGGCTCACTTTCACACCTGCTCAAACCAACAATCAAACTTTATTTCTTGATTAGTAAACAATAAGCTCAACAAACCTATCTAGGTAAACGCTTCACAACTAAGGGTTGGTAAAACATTGGCCATCGGGTTTGTAACACGGTTAACCAAGAATGGAATTAAAGCTCAACATGGTTAGCAAGTAAGATGATGTAAAAAGAAAATCAATTTGTAACAAAACAAAAGGAACAAAATAAGAAAAATGAAAAAGGTGCCCTCTTCCTCCCTTAAAAGTGTCAAGTCGGTCTCGGGAGCTACTAGTCAACACAAAGATCGAAAAATGCGTAATCAAGGATCCAAATATGCCACTCAACAAGAATGATGAAGGCTAGAACAAATAAACCTCACGGGATCTAACAAATAAAGCAACTACCAATCAAGGGGGTGAAATCCACAACCGAGAAGCGACTCCATCTTACCACAGCCCAAAGGCATAGAGTTTCACATGACAAAAGTGTTCTATTTCTACCCTTCGCCTAGACTCGTCCACATTGATCAACAATAGACTCGAACTGTGTATTCATCATTGGCTTAAGTGGAAATAGACATTCCATACACATTCATTCACATTTCAAATCCAACCATGAACAATATTCCAAAATTTTGCAATTAGACAAGTTTATTATGATCCAAAAACATAGGAAAAGACTACGAGGCATATCATATAAGCTAAACCACACATCCTCATAGCAGAAGCTTTTCCTATCTAACACAAACATATGTACAACTAAGCCAACTGAATAAGTTGAAAGGCACATAACGAGGCATAAAAATCACATAAAATCCCAATTGACAAACAAGTGATCGAATGATATCAACATCAACGATCCCAGGTTCCTTAGAACCGATCAAACATCCTCAAACCATTCAACTTATTCCTAAACTAAACTATCCTAAGCACAAAAAAAAAAAAAAAAAGAAACGATCTCACCAAATTTGCTTCCCGGGAGCTCCAATTAACGGCCATAGCATCGTTCTTCAAACTCATGCCGCGTCTCGAATGTTCCCAATCTGCAAAAAGGAAAGACATACTAGCAAACAAGTTAAGGTTAGTCTAGGAAAGCAGTAAATCTTTTTTTTTTTTTTTTTTTTTTTTTTTTTTTTTTTGTTTTTGTTTCGAATGAATACAAGTAAGACCCCCCCCCCCCAAGCTAGAATCAAACATTGTCCTCAATGTTTATATATCAAGGACTTACAATAGTAAGGAGAGGGAGGTAACTAAAGGGAAAGGGAAAGGGATCACGAGCTAGGCCCGCCCGGGCCATAAGGGAAACGGGAGGCCATATAATCAACACTCCTCTTCAGGTCTCTGAAGGCGGAGGTCATATCTTCGTTCGACCGGCGCAAATCCGCTACCTCGAGCTTCAAATCTTCCATTCCTTGGCGGAGCCAGGCGAAGTCTTGCGCCGGGATCTACTGGGCCGCATCCAGGCCACCCTCCTCGTCATCATCATCATCATCAGCATCGTCACCTCCTTGGCCCCCGTGGGCCTGCTCATCCCCCTGGTGAGGCTGGGGATTGCGGTCTACATACTCCGTGCCTCCGTCCTCGTGCCAGGCGAAGTCGGGGTCGAAGATCCAGTTGTCTTTGTTGTAAACCACCGTCCTCTCCGGATCGGGCAAGTAGGCGTATGGCTTGCCTGCTACGAGCCACAAATAGCAATCCGGCTGGGATGTCCCTTCAAGCCACTGCATGGCTCTCAAGGTGCGCATATCAAGCCTCGTAGTGCTTGGGATAGCCTGCAATTTAGAAAAATCAATCCCATTATATTGCGCAAGAATGGTGATCATGCCACCGATAGTAATATCACCCCTACCCCGGGCTAAACCGTCGAGGTGGTCTAGTAACCACGCTCCCATGTCTAGACGCCCGTCCCCACGGGTGAGGTGCCAAATAAACAGTAACTCCCTAATGGAGACTACACCCGAACTATCTCCTCTAGCAAAGATAGTAGAGGAGAAGGTCCTGTGGGACAACCGAAAGGCGGGATTGACGATGGAAGTCGCCTTATCCTACGGGGATCTCTATCCATTTTCCCCGTGATTTGCCGCCAAAACAACCCGGAGTTGTAGTGTTTTGAGTGGCCATCCTTAGGACCATATTTCAGGTCGGATGTCCACCCAAAGGCGGCATTAACTTGGGCCACCGACATTTGAATGGTGCCCGAGTTCATTAGTTGAAAGGACAAGTACCGGGGTGAGTTATTCTCATCCCTATGCACGTACAAAGAAGACAAAAATTCGAGGGTAAGCCTCTTGTAAGTGAGAGCATGCATGGTAAGGAAAGAATCAAAGCTGGTAAATGAAAATTGTTGAACCATGTCGCTTTCGATCCCTAGAGCCCTAGCGGCTAAAGGGTCGTAGAACTTGGTAGGCCGGATCGGTCGGTGGGATATCCTACAAATTTTCCAAAAAGGACGGGTTTATTAAAAACAATACCCATGGTGTCCACCGTGGGTGGAACCATGGATGAAGATGCATCGTCCCGACCCGGTCTCCTAGTCAAT